AAGTGCAAGTTGAGCCCTCAGTATATTGGTCCATTCGAGGTTTTGGAGAGAGTTGGTGAGGTAGCTTACAAACTTGCTTTGCACCCAACTTGTTGGGAGTTCATCCGGTATTTCATGTTTCCATACTTCAGAGGTATCATGAAAATCAGTCCCATTTGTTGGATTTCAGTTTAGTACAGTTAGAAGAGAATTTGGCTTATGAAGAAGCGTCAGTGGACATTTTGGATAGGCAGGTTCATAAGTTGAGATTGGAAGAGATTGCATCAATGAAGGTTCAGTACAGAGGTCAATCGGTCGAGGAAGAGACTTGGGAGACCGAGCATGATATGCAGAGCAGATATCCTCATCTTTTTGGCATTTCAGGTATGACTCTAAACTCGTTCGAGGATGAACTTTTGTTTAAGAGGGAAAGGGGGAGAATGTAATGAACCGGCCGGTCGTTTTATGTATTTGAGCTCGCTTCTCCTATTTGATGATTCCCATAGCTTTTTTTGATATTTTATGACATGCGGAACTGGTTGGTTTGGTTTCAATAAGTCTTGAGAGTGATTTGGAATACTTAGTTCTATTTTGGAAGTTTAAGTTGTTAGTCCAATATGACAACATGAATCTATCCCCAGGCTCGAAATACCAAACGGGATCCGATATCACCAAAGTTTGCTCCAAGTCAAAGTTAGCGAATTCAAAACTTTCAAAATGTCAACTTCCAACAATAAGCACCAAAATGCTTTTGGACCACCCGAAACTCGATCCGAACATACGTCCAAGTCCAAAATTACCATACGAACCTATTGGAACCTTCAAATCTCGATTCCGAGGTCGTTTACTCAAAATATTGACTTAAGTTAAACTTGGCCACCTTATGCCACTACTATGAAATTAGGTGTTCCGAATTCGACTTGAACCCTTTCAGAACCAAACCAATTGTGCCCCGTGCAAGTTATAAAATAGGAAAAATACATACAGGAAGTCTCAAATAGGGGAACGAGATACATCAATCTCCAATTGTTCTTGTTCTTTTTGCACCAATCTTTCTCAACAAAGAACAAGAACCTCCAAGAAGAAGATCTGTGAAAAAATAATGTTAGGATTGAAGAAGAAGAAGAAGAAGAAGAAGAAGAAGAAGAAGTTGAAGGGGAATGGAGAATAGGGGTTGGGAGCAGGAATGGGTGCTGGGAGGGTTTCTCATTATTTTTAGAGGGGGTGGGGCCCGTTTAGAGCCTTTGTGATAATTCTAAAACTTTAATTTTTTTTAATTTACTTTTAAATAATAAATACTAACAATGAAAGAGTATTTTTTTAACATCAATTTTTACATTTTTTGTCTTAAAAATTTATGTAAGTTTTCAAAAGTCTCAAATATTTAGAACCTTCGGGATTGTTCTAGTTCAGGCTCGAGATTTAAGAAGAAATCAAATTTTTTAAAACTTGTACTTTTGAGATGCCAAAACATTTGTACATTTATAAGATTTTTAAAACATGTGATCTTAATTATGTCGTAACAATTATGTGACTAAAAGAACTTCTCATTAGGGAAAAATAAAATATATCGTTCTTTATTAAATAGACTAACAAGAAAATAATATCAAATTTGTACTAAAAAACAAAAGGGGAGATGCTTAAAGAGTAGATTATTAATTTCAACAACATTCTTGTCACGCCCCGAAACTGGATTGGGGAGTGATGGCACTCAACCTACCTATCCGTCGAGCGGATCCTGATCTAACTGGCTAAACATGATGCTTAGCTTATTAAAATAGGCATAATATGAACATGTCTCATATCATAAGTATTTAAAAACTGTTAACTAAAGTTTTGAAAAGAATATAACCCACTAATGACAGTCATGAGTCTCTAAGTAATAAAACTAAGAATTTTGTCTTCGGTGCATCCCCATGGAATGAAATAAATGAAAGTAAAAAACAGTCAACCACCGCTGGAAGGAATGAACAGAGTCTATTTATTAGATCCACAAGAAGTTTGAAATCTAGCCACAAGATTTGTTACCTGCACACTCAACGCCTATCACACGATGTGGCAAGCTAAGGGCTAAGTACCTCCAAGGATACCCGATAAGTCTTATTGAAAACCCCTAAACAGAGAACAAGACTGGCATGGGCTATACATAAGTATAATAAAAATGCAATAAGTAGAGCAAACAATTTACATAACTGCTATTAAATAATTTGAAAGTTGAGCCTGATTTTGAAAACTGAACTTAAAACTGAAACTAATTCATGAAATCTAAGGTGAGATTAAATCTGAATTTAGCTAAATTTAATTATTTCGAAGATCATGTCTGACAAAGAGTGGCACCTGCAAGTGTGAGGATGATTTTCGCATAACTCGACCCTAATGACTTTTACACTCGGGGAGGTTGGTCACTTTTCCCAATAGATAAGTCTAAACAATCAATGACACCTGCAAATGTGAGGATGGTTTTCCTATTCCACGGCCCTGGCGGCTTTTAAACTCGAGAAGGTGAACCATATTTTTCCTTTCTTAAGCTGGATCTAAACGTGGAGCACCTACAAGTGCAGGGTAACTAACCCTGACAACTATGCAACTCACATCCAAGAAGGTTGGCTACTTCTCACATACAGTATGTGATCACATTTATCTAATATGAGCTGCAACTAAATGAGTGCAAGCAATGGCATAACAATAATCAAATCAAACAAGAGGTTCAATTACTTATGATACTCTGAGCTAGCTAAGTTACCATGCAATGCAAGGCAATTCAATTTTTGTAAGATAATCATTATTATGAACTAGAGAAGAGTAGTATTTAAGTAATCAAGGGTTTTTAAACGAGCAATCAAAATATTTACACTTAAAAATCAATTAGGTACTTTCTTGTCAAACAATTTCCTTCTTAAGCATTTTCTTATTAAGCTCTTGACTCAGGGTATTATAAACTCAACTTACCTTAAAATAATTATCAAGTTTTTTTTCAACAACCTCGCATAGTTAACTCTTCGGAATCTACAATTTAAGCGGCTAAACATGTTAACCGAAACTATTTATTAATCCAATTCCTTCATCAAAATCTCATCTAGCCATTTAGGATTATGGTTACTTGCACCCTTAAAGTCCATCAATTCGTACATTCTATAATCATAATATATCGTATAGATCTAATTTTAATAGTAAAAGTAACGGGAATTACCTTCTTGAAAAAATTCTAGTTCTTCACCTCTTGAGTTCTTAAAGATAATCTAAGGATTTTAAGATGAAATCTTGTTAAAATCTATGTTGGAGAGCACTAATCCAACTTCAATCGCGTTAAAAGCTTACCTTAGGCATTGAAAAATGATCTTGGGTCGATTTGAATAGAACAAATCATAAGTACTTGTAGTGTCACGAATGGGAAAAAAAACATATTATTGGATTAGGGTAAACTGTTTCCATAGTTTGGATCCGTGGCTACGGTTGGCCTAGTCCCTTAGGCCTTCCTTCGAAGCCACAAGCTGAAGTTCGCCAGGGTTCAAACATGGCCACGGTCGGCCGCCATGGTTTGAACCGTTGGCCACTGTTGGCTCGGGGGTCAGGTTACTACTCTACTACCCTTCAGGAAAAAGGTCATAACTTTTTGTAAGAATGTCGGAATGACAAACAATTTGAAGTTTTTAAAACTAGACTCAGAGAGCTTTCATTTGGTATATGGCTCACAGCTCAATTCATTACACATTAGAATATATGATCCTTTAAATTTGAGGCATGTGCGACCATGTTCGCTTTCTTCTCTTGAACAAATTCCAATTTATTCCATCATACCTCTTACCTCTTCCAAATAAGGGTGTTCGTTTGTCGGTACAGTGCGGTACGGTAATTAGTCATTTCGGGTTGGTATTTTCGATATTTTCGATATTCGATTTCTTAAAATGCTATACCAATACCATACCTAATTACATTCGGTATGGTTCGGCTTTCCTCCTTCCTGTTTCAGTTCACTCGGTTCGGTAATTTTGATTTATTCGACTTGAATATTAAGTACTGCATAGAGCCATAGACTGTCATATTCTTAATTAAAGTACTCAATGAAAACGTTCTAAACTCACCTGACTGTTGACAAAATCTTTGTCCAATACCATCAAGTATCAACTAAGAGAAAAAAGATAGATAAAGGGATACATTTAATCACTAAAAATACCATGGTACTTGCTTAGAGTTAATTGTTGAAATTAGAGAATACAACAAGGACTAATCCAACATATGCAACAACAATACAAGAGTAACGGAGTAAGAAACACCTCAAAACCGTTGAAATATTACGTTAAACTGCTTGACAACCTAGAGAGTAAGAATTAAATCTGCATCCTACCTTGTTCCATTTTCCTAAAAAAGTACATGGGTTTTACCGTCAGCCTCAACATGAACGCCAAAGAAAAGTATTGTGTAACTTAGTATGTTGATCAATAATATCTGTAATGTGTAATTTAGTTTATATTTTGGTACAATATTGGCATTTCTGTATTATTTTTTTAAATACCAAATACCATATCTAATGCCAAATTATTTTAAAAACTAAAACAAATACCATACCAAATACCGAAATACCATATACCAAAATTTTCGATTTCGATACAGTAATTCGATATTTACTATATGATGCACAACCCTACTTCCAAACATTCATACTACCTTCCAAACATAATACTTAGATATTATACAGCTTCGAAACTTTCTGAATACCATTGTGTCCAACTTAAAGCCTGAACAAGAACGTAGCCAAAACTTTTCTGATTCAGACTAACAAGGATTTTGACTCAAGGGGATTAAGTTACCACTCTTACTTCACATGTCTTCTTAATCGTTCATCGCGACTAACGTGAATGAAATAGTGAAATTATAGTAATTATTTTCATTTAACTCCATCACATGCAATTTGGACATTATTCAGTATTATCAAGGTCGTCCAATGTAATACCTTTAAGAATCAAAATGAAAATCTGAATGAAGAAAAATAATTGACAAACAAAACATTTAGTCTTTCTATCACCGCAGAAGGAAATGCAAAGAGCTTGATTATTAGTAAAACTTTATACAATAATCTTAAGTTAACTCTTACATCCACCAAGTCATAATTCTATGTTTTCCCTTACAGTGACTTGCCCCTGACCTGAGATTCTTTGGAGTGAAAAATGGAAGTGTAGAAATAGAGGTACACAACTTCCTTTTACAATCGTTAGCGATATACAAATGATACAGGAGTTACATATTCAAATTATGGGAACAAAGTGTCTTAATGATATCATTAGACTTGAAACAAATTTTCAGTAACTGAAGGAAAAGAAGAAGGGACCAAAGTTTTCTACAGTACGGAACTAGTAATAGTATCTATTCTGTTGGTAACCATACTGCTGTTGATGATCCGACTCTGGAGTGAAATTGTGTGATTCCAAATTACTCCTGAGGCGCCAGCCTTCAGGTACCTTCAGAAACTGATTTGACTCTATATAGTTGCGGATATTCACAATCACCTTGTTCAACTTTGCATCACCTCGATCTTTCAATGCAGTTAGAAAATCTTTAGCAATGATATCCAACATCTTTCTGAATTGTGTTTTATATCTTCTGTGTAGAGCAAAACCTGCCATCTGGGTAACCAAGACATTTTCTTTTAACTCCAACACCATTTCATTAACATAAAAGGGACTGAGAAAGAGCTTCAACTTACTTCAAGAAAAGCCTGCAAGGCAGCTGCAGTATATAAATTTGCTGGGAGAACATTTAAGAATCTGGCTATCCATGCCCAACCTTCTCTGAGGCCATGCAAGTTTTGGCAGCCTTCAACTTCAGTCTGCCCGAAATGCAGTTTACTACTAAATCAGTTACTATACGAATGAAGTAAGGGAAAAAAACAATTTTGGTCCCTGAATTATTTTGTTATTTTATTTTTTGTCCTTGTATTATTTGGCTGAGCACATCTGACCTCCAATTAAACAAAATGTGCAGTTCTAGTATCACAAAATAAATATTACAGGATGACATATTCAACTAACAAATATTAGTTTGGCATTCTGTCACTTCTCCATTAAACTCAGGCCAAAGGAGCTCTGCACCAAGAACTCCCTTAACAAAATTCCTATACGTGGAATAACAACTTACTGCTTGGTTCACAACCTGTAGTACTGGTAACTAACATTGCAAAAAGGACATCTTGTCTAGAATGTTTCCTGCTCCGCTGATGAAGTTGGTTCTGTCTGTGGACAATGATTCAGATACTGAACTGAATTTTAAACCATTTGAAATATTGTTTTGTCAAACTGAAGGATTTCGAATAACCTGATGAGATAGTGGCTTTGCTGCTGTAACCTCGGATAAAATTCAGCACTTTCTATCATACAAAGCCCTTTTACTGGGTCGAAGAGCACCATATGTACTTCCCAAACCTAACATGAAAGCCGCTTCTGCACTAAAGGCTCTTGTTTGGATGAAGCACAAGTCTCCAATATTGATGTCTAATGGTGACTTTATTAACCTGAGGGATCCATTGCAATCTTTTTTAATCCCACTCCACTGCTTTGAGCTAGAAAATGAACATTGGAGACAAGTAGTTGAGATATGTTATATAGTTGAGGGTAAAGTCCTTCAGATTTCAACGCAACCTCTTGAGTCCCTTCAAAGTCATTATTCTGCATTTTCTTCTAGCAGAGCTCTTTAGCCCTTAGGGCTTCATTTGTTGCACCCCATCGCAAATCGCAATCAATGTTAACCAGTAAGATACACCAGACATGCGTACAAAAGTCCCCAACTTATATTCGTCATGCTCAAGTCTGTGTTCCTTATACCTGGGAGCGAGTGACGAAGATGGGTTCATCACACTAGCGATGGCTTCTTATTGAACGTAGAATATCAATTAAGCACTGATCCACTCCAAATATCGTGTAGGTGGAAATGCCAACACAATTTCCATTTTGAGGGGAAGACACATTCTCTAAGACAATTGGATCTCTATTTGGAGGCTTTAAAGGGAACCTAAAGGGAACATTAGAAGGGGAACCTCGGAGCAACGGTAAAGTTGTCTCCGTGTGACCTATAGGTCACGGGTTCAAGCCGTGGAAGCAGCCACTAATGCTTGCATTAGGGTAGGCTGTCTACATCACACTCCTTGAGGTGCGGCCTTTCCCTGGACCCTGCGTGAATGCGAGATGCTTTGTGCGGCTGCCCTTTTTAAAGGGAACCTAACAAGAAGTTGAAGTAAACCACAATTCAAAAAGATGATGGGCACGAATTATGATGATTATATGTATACTTGGTAGTCCCTTTATTTTCAAGTTGAAATCATCAATGCATAGAAACTGCTAATGTTGGTGCTAACTGAGAGGAAGAATGGCCAGGTTGATGGAGAAATAACTGAACCCAAATTGATATCCGTCAGCAGAATAACATTTGTTAGTTTCAATGAGTGATTGGACCAAAATCGCACATTTGTTAAATTGAAGGTCAGATATACTCATGCAAATAATGCAGGGGCTAAAACCTGAATAAAGCAAAACTCAGAGACCAAAACCACTATTTTCCCGAAAGAGTAAGATAGACGAGAGTGCCAGCAACACAAGCATTAAGGATTCTTGAGGATAAAAGTAACAAATGTCTAAGCAACTGACCTGAACAAGAGCACCATATAATTTCATGTATGCACTTAAGCGATCCACATAACTATTGGTACTTTCTATCTTCCCATCTTCCTCTGCGTAGCCAATAGCTTTGTAATAAGCTTCTTTTGTCTGAAATGCTGCCTGAAGTGAAAGAACACATCAAAGTTAATTTTTCGTGGAGGTAGCATAATATGATGTGAATATGGGGTGAAGAAGGTTAACTAATGTATGTGACAAGTTCTTTTCTCACCACTTAATTGAAGAAATATCATGCTCCAAGACAATCAAGTAAAAAGAATCCCACAAAAGACAATAATGAGATGTGTAGATGCCAAACACGTAATACTAAGGTAAATAAGAAGTACCTCTGAGTAAATAATGTACTTAGGAACTGCGTAAATGCGAACTTTATTCAACTCGCCTATGAGAATATCCATGGCAAGAGGGACCTGTGATGAAAAGCAAACCAATATGTAAGGATGGTTGTGACGACCCGATAGGTCGTTTTGAGTACTAGTCTTTATTTCTGTGATCCGAGACCTTACATAGCTTCATTTGATATTATATGACTTGCGTGCGTGATCCGTGTTGTTTTTCGAAAAACTTTTATGTGAAATTTTGAAGAAAACGTGATTTTTGACTTAAAATGAGGCTAGAGTTGACCACAGTCAATGTTTTTGGTAAACGACCCCGGTTCGGTATTTTGACGATTCCGGTAGGTTCGTATGACGATATTGGACTTGTACGCATGTTTGGTTGGGGTCTTAGGTGACCCGAGGGCGTTTCGGAGCATTACGTGAAAGTTGGCAAAAATTGAATTTCAAGGTTGAAATCTTGAGTTTTGATAATCGATTCTCGATATTTGATGTTGTTTTGATGAGCGAGCGAGTTTATATAGGATGTTATTAAACTTGTGCTTGTTCGGATTGGAGCCCGAGGGGCTCGTGTAAGTTTCGGATGAGTTTTGATTGATTTGGAACTGTTGGTGCAAGTTTGTTGCTGGTGTGAGTTGGAGGTCTCGAATTTGCAAAGACTTGATCGCAATTGCGAGCCTCGCATTTGCGATGTCAAGCTCGCAAATGCGAAGTGGGGGCTGGTCTTCGCTTTTGTGAAGAAGTCATCGCATTTGCGATCTGGAGATGGTCCACATTTTGCGACCATTTTGTCACTTTTGCGATGACTGGGATTCTTGGAGTGCTTCGCAAATGCGAAGCTTGCACCGCATTTGCGATGGTTGGGGACTTCGGAAATGCGAGGTCCAGTGTTGTAAATAGCGCTCACCTCAGCTCTAATAGCGTGAGGCGATGCAATGCGAGCAGCCTGCGCTATTTTGGCTCTGTTGCGTTGCGATTGTAAAAGGCGAGCGCCTCTGCCTGTGTAGCGAGAGGCGCTGTGTAGCGAGAAGCAAGCTGTGGCGTCGTCTTTTGAAAAAAAAGAATGAAAAAGGCGCAAACATTAAAAGAAAAGACCATCGACTTAAAACATTAGGGCTTGCAGCGATTTCACGTTTCTTTCTTCTTCAACCTTCAAACAACATAGCAGCCAAGTCCACCCAGCCCAGGTAAGCTTCTCTTCTTCGATTTCCTTTCTTCTTCTCCTTTCTCCTTTCTCTCTTTCTTCCTCTTCCTTCTTCTCTTCTTCTTTCTATTTTTTTTGCTCTGTTTTTTGTCGAGCAACAGTGCAGAACAGAGAGTCTGTTGCTCTGTTTTTTTTTTCTTCTTCTTCTTCTGATCTTCTCTTCTTCTTTCTTTTTTTTTTTTTTTTTTTGCTTTGTTTTTTGTCGAGCAACAGTGCAGCAAAAAACAGAATAGAGAGTCTGTTTATGCTCTGTTTTTTTTTTCGTTTTTCTTTTCTTCTGATCTTCTCTTCTTCTTTTTTTTTTTGGTTGCTCTGTTTTTGATTGAGCAGCAGTACTGCACCCTGTTTTTGCAGAGGCAGAGGCAGAGGCAAAGAACTTCAAAACTTCAAACCTAAAATATCCTCCTTTTTCAGTTATAGAGTAGAATTAATTGCATATTGTGAATTGATATATTTATTAAGATATTATTGTTATTGAGTTTTTAGTTATATATATAATATTTTTTTTTTTGTATAAATTGTCCCTTCACATAAAAAAGGCGAGCGCTTCGCTGCGCGCCTCTTGCCTCAGTGAAGCGGACCCTCGTCGCTATTTGTCGCCGCACGCTATCCAAACACTGGCGAGGTCTATGTCACATTTGCGACTTCTGACGAACTATGGCGCTGTTCGCATTTGCGGATGATTGCTCGCATTTGCGAACAATTGCGATACCTGCAGCTGAGTAAAAGTGAGAAATTTCGGGACTTAGCTCATTTTACACCATTTATTCAACCCTAAACTCTCTAGAAGAGGTTTTGAAGAGGATTTTGTTCCCAAATTCATTGGAAAGCAACTTTAACTAGTTTTCAATCAATTTCAATTACTTTTCCATGAATTTTAACATCAAATCTATGAATTTCAAGGTAGAAATTAGAGTTTTGGGTAACCGGGATTTGGTCCGAATCTCGGATTTCGACCAAGCGGGCCCGAGGTTAATTTTTTTTATCTTTTCAAATATAATCAAAATTGAACCTTTTTCATTCATGGGTAGTTTCTAACGCTTATTTTGGATTGTTTGATTGATAATTGGCTAGATTCGGTTGGTTTGGAGGTTTGTTCGAAAGAAAAAAGCCGTGGTTGATTGTTGATTTTGTTGCGGAAGGAGGTAAGTGTCGTGGTTAACCTTGATTTGAGGGAATTAAAGTAGAAACGAGTCTATTTGCTATGTGAACTATGCGTTGGGGCAGCGTATATGCAAGGTGATGAGTCTATATGTGTTGGCCATGGGATACGCATGCAGGTGAAATTTGCCTTATTTCCACCATGTTATTTCATTTACTATGCTTTAGATAGATCGCTTATTCTTTGACTATTCGCTTTCAAGTTATTTCTTATATTGAATTGTTGCGATATTGGGTGTTGAGGATGTGGAATTTGTAATTTGTTGTTGGCTCTAATTGTGGAAAGATTCTCGTATGACGAGTGGAGTTCAATACTATTGTTGAAGTGAATTAGCTTCCCACCTTGCTTGACATTTGTGTTGTTGTTGTTGCTTGGTGAAGAAGAGTGAAGAGCACGAAGGGTGTTGCCATGCCTCATTTGCATATTGATATCATTGATTGAGTGAATGTGAGGATAAAAGCACGAAGGGCGATGCCGTGCATATGCATTTTTATTAAGATCAAGTGAGGATGAGAGTAAAAGCATGAATGGTGAAGTCGTGCACTTCTATTTATCTGATATGGTGAGGATAAGAGTAAAAGCGCGAAGGGTGATGCCGTGCGAGTTTGTTGAATTCGTTGTTTTACTAGATATTTTGGTAATGTGAATTTTGACTTGGGGGATTCGTTGCTCCTTTTGGAAAGAGGTTTACTTTATGATTCTTTATTTACTGTACCGTCTATTGTCCCCGATACTTGCCCTTATCCCGTTGTTTCATTTGACTTTTTACTTCTTATTCCTTTATTATGTATATATATATATATATATATATATATATATATATATATATATATATATATATATATATATATTACTGCACAGGTTTATTGTAGGCGTCTTGTCTTAGCTTCGTCACTACTTCGTCGAGGTTAGGCTCGACACTTACGGAGTACATTGGGTCGGTTGTACTCATACTACACTTCTACACTTCAGATCCTGACATCGGTACCAGCGAAGCCCCGAGAGGTGCTTAGCAGATACTACGTTGGTGATTCGAGGTAGAGCTGCATCCCGTCCGCTAGCCTTGGGTCATAATCTTACCTCTATTGTATTGTTTCCACTTTATCCGGACGGTGTTGCATTTCTTTCATAACCTTGTATTTAGTTGGATCTAGAAGTTCATGTACTTATGACACCAAATCTTGGGGTGGTTGCGTTAGTTATTGGTTTTAGAGCTCTATTATGTTATGACAGAGCTGATTTTACATTATGTTATTGATCAGTTGTCAGATATTTATTGCTTTTCTTTTCGTATTATTTGTTGTGTTGGCTTGCCTAGCGAGCGATGTTAGGCGCCATCACGACCCTGATTGGTTGAGATTTTGGGTCGTGCCGTCATGACAATGTCAATCTACATTAGTTAGTACTTTCTAATCATATTCATGTATCCCTTTTCAAACACTAAGTCTCCTGTCCTAAATTAAACCTTTTATGTTGTTTAACAATCCTAGAGCCCATCTCGTGCTATCAATACAACCTCTAGATTTCCCTTCGTCGGAAATTCCTGACATCTATTTAAATTCGAAGGTATTCCCCATTTTTTCCAGCAATTCACCTTTTGGGCTCAGGTCTGGACATTGCGTTTGGATAGAAAACAATTTATTTTTGGTGGTTTTAGGAAATTTAGCTTCGGGTTTGTGTTTGGATATGGTTTTTGGTAAAAGATATCACTAAATCCCTAAGCAATTTTTTAGGCCTTCAAATGGGTGAAAATTAAAAGAATTGGTTGAAGAGAAACAACAAATATTTTGTTAAAGAAAAAAGAAAGCGGGAGTCTAAAGTGTAAAGTGAAGATGTAACCAGTACTTACGAGCCACTTTAGCGGTGAAGGGGCTTGCCTGACAATTTGAGACCCCAATTTGTTTTGGTTGTGGAGAACAAGTTTAGGTTAGAAAGTTTGGTATAATAACAAGCACCCTTAGTGTTAGACCCTAACTCTTTGTCATCGGGCGTGGCACGGCTGTGGCAAGGATTTGGGCGTGATGGCCTTGTCATTGGCCTATGTGCGGGCAAAACGATCATGCGGGCGACGGACAAGACATTGTCATTGAGGGCTGTTGTGGGCAAGTATTGGCCAAGGCCTTGGGACTGGCAAGGCGCGCTTGGCAAAGGCTTGACAAGGCAGCATGGGCAGTGTTGGGGCGGCATGGCATGGCATGCGCGCCAAAATCAGTGGCACGGACACTTTGGGTTGTGGCAGCAACAAATGTGGGCTAAGCTAAAATGCGGATGTGCGGGATGATGGCAAAGGCTTTCAATAGCTAAGGCAAGGCTATGTGAAGGAAAATACAAGCAATGGCACGAGGGAAATGAAGGTTGACATGGACAAGGCAGAAACTAGGCCAAGGCGGTGCGCGGGCGGCAGCGGCGTCGGGCGTGTGCGGCAAAATCGTGGGCAGCGGATTGCGGGCAAGGCATTGGCACGGAGCAATGTCAAGATGGGCCAAGGCTGGGCGCAATGCCAGCCTTGGGCGTTATTCAGCTGGGCAAATGAAGTTGGCACATGCAATGCACATGATAGGCAGTTTTGGCGGTTACCTTGTCATAACCTCTTTGTCCCAAGATCAGATTATGCTTGTACCATTATCCATTTCGTGTATATTGTGTCCTAAGTAGTTGGGGATGTCAACTACATGTTAGGAACAGATTTAAACTTAGCCCGACAAGTGGCAAAAGCTGTAGACGACAAGTGTCATGTGTTGTCAAGTCTAAGGGCTGCCTATATTCTATAAATAGGGCCTTTGGGACTTAGTCAGGTTTATGTGGGTAATTTCGTGTGAAATTATAAGTGGGAAACAAGAGTGAAACGTGAGGGTTTCAAAGTGGACTAAGGCTAGGCTTGGGCAGGTCTTAGTGTTGGCCAAGAACGACTTGTGTTCTTTGTCAAAAGTGGGCTGTGAGCGGATTGTGTTCATAGCAAAGTGAGGGTCCTTTCTATATTTTCGAAATTAATACAAGGGTTGGGAATTTTCCCGTATATACTGTTGTTCTTATTGATTTGCTGCCTAAAATTCGTTTAAGCCAAACTTGCTGAAAATTGGCTAAGTGTTTAGGAAAGGCTGAGTCAAGTGTGTGACTTGACTGCCGCGCGGGTGTGACTTTGGACTGACCAAAAACGCCCCCGTGACACTTAGTATGAAGTCAAAACGTGACACTCAATCTGGGACTGAGCATGACTAGGTTTAGATGAAAGCATAATGGTTTTTTTACTGATTAGTGAAGGAACAAAATGCTTTAACTGCTTTCTTTTCAGTTATTGACGTCAATCTCCTGATTATAAAACAACAAGAACTAATATTGACCTATAATAGCAAGAGGACCAGAACAATATCATAATTACCTTTGAAGTAACAAGGACAATTACACGACCATACGCATAAACGGCACTGTTAAAGCTTCCTGTAGGGTTCACACACAGGGACACAACCTATAAAATTGAAAGCCAGAATCACAGTCAATATCCTTATATGTTTAGGCAAAGCTCCAATAGTAGAATATATTCAATATACACTAATCAACTGTTGCATCAAGAACCCACAATTTTCTACAATCAAAAACATATGCAAACCCCAAACCCCCAACATCCGCCCCCGTCCCGTGCCCCTCCCGAAAGAGAAAAGGAAAAAGAGAAAGAAGTAAAAATAATGACATCATAAGAGACACCGAAAAAAAAAATCCCAGTTGAAGTACTTCAGGATTTTACCTTCTGTGCAAACATGGCAATGCTGATGGATTGTGGACATGTTGAATCACTGATAAGCTTAATTAATTCATCTGCTTTCACTCTGCACAAGGAAAAGTAACATACATGTATCAAACAGAAATATAGTTCTTGCACCTCATGAAGTTTATTCCCAAAAGTAGTTCAAAAATATAGGTCAAAGCAACTAAATACGTGGCTTAAATATGGGAGGTAGAAAATGGTTTCAACAAGAAAATCATTAAAGCTACAGGAGATAGGGCTAATAATCAAAGAGATGAGTATCCAGGTACCTGACATTTTCTTTAGTACCAGTTATAGTTCTGATTCATCTAGCTATTTCCATTTCATATTTTCGGTAAGCCTGTTAAGAACGAATTTGTGTTACTATAGAATATCAGAAGTACCCCAAATCCGGATTGTGGGGTGGTAGTAGTAGTTGTTGTATAAAAACATCAGAAACTACTTAACCCAAATTAACATCCTTAGGATCTCAAATAGAACTCAGAACCTCTGTACGCTAAGATGAAATATAATAATTCAAAATGCATCTGATGACATTCCAACTAAACAAGCAACTCTTTCTGTTTCTTTTATTAAAAAATGACCACATTAGCCTGAAGGAGCAAGTAGCACGCATTTAGGATAAAATGAGAGAAGATCACTTGAGATGGTACGGTGGTGTCCTTCGTCGACCTACAGATGCAGCGGTCCATAGGTGTAAAATAATGGGGAGTGAAGGTGTTAAAAAGAGGACTAGGTAGACCTAAAATCACAAGGAGGGAAGTTGTCTTGAAAGACCTACAATTACCTGGAATCAATCAAGACTTGGCTAAAGATAGGGCACAATGGAAGAAAAAGATCCATATATGTGATATTTACTACTTGGGAATAAGTTTTAGTCTTGTTAGTATGTCGATTTTGGACCTATTGCTTTTCTAGGAGTATTTTGACCTTATCATAGATTTCTATGCCAGTAAGAAATATTGCTGTCGAGTTGAGGGATTTCAGACATAAGCTTTTATAAGAGGAAGGCAAATCGTGGACGTGGCTCTCATTGCTAATGAAATGTTTTAGATTCTAGAAAGAGAAGCAACAAGCGGTGTATTGATGCAAGTTAGACATTGAGAAAGCTTATGGTATGTCAACTGGAACTTTCTGATGAACATGCTTGAGGATTTGGGATTTGGTAGAAGACGGATCAAGTGGATTTCCTTTTGCATCAGTACAGTTAGATATTCCGTCCTTGTTAATGGCAAACCAATGGGGTTTTTTTTTTCAGCTCAAAGAGGTATACGACAAGGAGATTCTCCTTTCTTATTTTTACTGGTGATGGAATGTTTTAGTAAATGCTATCTGTTAAATATGTGAATCGAGGGATAAGAGGATTCAGAGTCAAAGTAGTAGCCAAAATGCCATGGAAATGTCACATTTATTGTAAGCTGATGATACTATGTTGTGTGATGTGGAGATTGAGCAGCTTAGGCATCTGCAGCTCAAAATTTGTATATTTTGAAGCAATTTATGGTCTTCATGTTAACTAGAGAATAAGCTTTTCATATCCAGTTAATGTCATCACAAATTGCAGCAGAACTACTGGAACTTTAGGATGCCAGGTTGGCACTCGGCCAACTGTCTATTTGGGATTGCCTTTAGGGGCCAAGCATAGAGCTAATAGTATATGGGAAGCGGTCTTGGATAAATGTGAAAGAAGGCTAGTAAGCTGGAAGAAGCAGTATTTATCAAAGGAGGAAGATTGGTACTAGTTAACAGTGTGCTGGGCTCAACATATGTGATGTCTCTTTCCTCTTTGCCTACTAAGATTGAGAAAAGAATTGACAAGCTACAGAGGAACTTCATTTGGCAAGGTAATAAAGAAAAGGGCAGCCCAGTGCACTAAGCTCCCGCTATATGCGGGGTTCGCCGGACCACAAGGGTCTATTGTACGCAGCCTTACCTTGCATTTCTGCAAGAGGTTGTTTCCATGGCTCGAACCCGTGACCTCCTGGTTCTTTACTTCAGTGAATGGAACCTATCGAGGCTAAGGAAAATGGTGGACTGAGGATTAAAACCTCAGAAAACACAATAAAAGCTTGTTGATGAAGTGGCTATGGAGATATAACTCGGAGGTTGATGCCCTTTGAGTTGGTGTGATTAAGAACAAAAATGGAGTTGAGAATCAATGGTGCAGCAGAGAAGTAAAAGCTGCATATAGAGTCTCAATTTGGAGAATAATTCGAGCTCACTGGTCTTGTTTTACATCTAGAATAGGGTTCAAGGTGGGAAATGGGATGAGGATATCCTTCTGGAAGGATATGTGGATTGAAAATGAGCCTTTATTAGACTTATTTCCTGATCTATTTTTATTGGCAGCAAATGTTTCAGCTTTTGTGGCAGAAAATAGAGAAAATGGGACTTGGAATACAATCTTCAGAAAGAGGTTCAATGACTGGGAGATCGACAGGGCTACAAAATTTTACAACCACTTAAGCACATTCAAACAGCTTACTGATTCAGAAGATGGCATCACAACAGTAAAGGAATGTTTACTGTGTCTTCTTGGAAGCAAATCTGGAATACAAAAGCCCCTCTCAAGGTAGCTTGTTTTACCTGGATAGTGAGCAAAGAAGCTTGTCTTACTTACGAGAATTTACAAAAATGAGGGTTGGCTCTATGCAGTAACTGCTTCCTATGCGGGAAACAACTCTAGAGTATTCGTCATTTGTTTTTGCATTGCCAAGTTACTGTCCAACTGTGGCAGCTTTTATGAACATAATTGGTCTGCAGTGGGTAATGCCTAGTTCAACAACTGATTTGCTTAGCTGCTGGAACATAATTGGGTTTAGTAATGGCAAACTTAGATGGTGTAACACGATACCTTGTATTTGGTGGATTATTTGGACCGAAAGGAATAGCAGATGCTTTGAAGACTCTGTTAATTCTATCATTAGGATAAAATCTAGATGTAATATTTTGTTTTGCATATGGTGTAAGAATGGAGAATGTAAATGATGCATAATCAGTCCTACAAATGTTAGAAGCCCTGAAGGATTAGAAGGGGCAAACTTTTGCTGTTTTTGCTTCTGTAAATACTGTTCACCTGTTGCAGCACATCTTTTGTGCTTGTTTATATATAACACTACCTTATCTTTCAAAAAAAGCCGGTAAACATACAAAGAAATTTTAATATCATTATTAATACTATTATTTATATATACTTAACTTATTTTCACTTTTATTTTTATTTGGCATGATGATGACATGAGTTGAGCTTAAATGGAGAAACATGGTCTGCGAGGATTCATATGGCCAACCTCAACTTGTTTGGGATTGAGACATAGTTGTTTTTGTTGTTTATTTCAGCTAAAAGAAGACTCAAATGAACTTATCAAAATGTCTCAGTAACTTTTTCAAACATGCAAGGATCGCATAGTTGAATGTAAGCAGTTTCAAGAACTTGGAACTGCAACTCCTAAAACACAATTGGATGGGTAAATGATAATGTTAGTAGGGAAAGAGTTTTTTTTTTTTTTTTTGAGAAGGTAACATATTTGTATATTGAAAACACACTACACAAAGGGTGTGTAGTCCCCCATACAGTGTTATCAAAGGCGCGCTTAAGCCCTGAAGCGAGGCTCAAAACATGTTGAGCGCTTCGCCTCGCTTAGGGGGCGCTTCAGTATTGTCATCAAGGCTCTAAGGCATAATTTTCCTTGCCAATGGGCGTAATCCTAAAGAAGCGACACTAAACAATTGATATTTCACTTTGTCGTAAATTTTCTTCAGTTTCTTTGTCCATATATTTGGCAATCATGCTTATAGATATTAGTCTTGAACAACACATACATATTTGTAGTTTTTCTCCATTTGCGCCTTTCTTCATTAAAGCCCACGCTTTATTTGCGCTTTGCACTTAAAACCCCAACAGACCTTAGAGATCTTTTGCGCTTTTTGCTTTTGATAACACTGCCCCCATATTTACAAAAACCAAGGTTCTTTTAAAAGTCATTACTTCCTGTCACATGAAATGTGAGACTACTTTCTTCACCAACCACGGAGTTTAAGATGTTAATTTGACTTTTTTAATGTATTAGTGGTAAAATAAAAATATAAAAACAGTTGGTTGAAAAATTAGTCTGATATAGCAAAAACACATCAATGTATATAGTTCAATGGCTTTTAACTCTAGCAACTGTGCAAGTCAAATAGAATAACAGTACTAATAAAATGGTGTCAAACATTTGGGATATCCAAAGGGAAGAATGCCACATAAATTAGGATAGAGGGAGTAACTGTTCAGGAACCCCCATTCCCGAGCCTCTGCAAAGAATACTTTACTTTATGCAGCAAGAAGCATAATAGCCTGATAAATCTGCAATGAAATTTCAAATATAGTTTTGCAAGGTTACCTTGTTAGAACCCGATCCCAGTACTTCATTTTGTGAAGCTATTTCATTGTAAATCATCAATCTTTTCTCCTCCAGCTTTTGAGCATTTTCTGACACCCTGATTGTATTTCCTGGTATATCCAAAATTGCAAAATTGAAATCTATGCATATATTTACGAGCACTAGAAATAGAAAGAAAAACAACATCTAAATGTTTCATCTTGCCACTTGGAGGTTGGCGTATCATACACTATTTGATAAAAGGATATCATCCAGTTGACTGTATAAAAGTTTTGACAATAACTTTTTATATTTAGACTATAAAGAAAAAAACCAGAATAGTCCTTTAAATATAGGGGTTGCTCTAACTTGGTCTTTTATATATTTCATTGAGCATGAACACTCCTTTATCTTTGTAATTAGTGAGCACGTTTAGTCCAGGTTAGTCTCAAGACCATTCACTAACAGAAAAGATTCACCTAAGGCTAAAAAAAACTAACGGGACTAATGGAACTAATGGGAGAAGAGACAACACTAATGGACAGAAAGAAGCCGCAAGTATTAGCTTATGGAAATTTGCTTACCAGCAGACGAAGTTATCAAGCTAGTGAATTATGTTTCTCTGTTCTATCTAACCAAATCATATCTAATTCTAAGCAAAGCATATCTATTAGCAAATTATGACTAGTGCATGCATATTATATGTTTATCTCAGTATACTATTATTATTGATGGTAGAAAACCTTTTCCAAGCAAAGAAAGAGATGGACTCTTACCTAATCAAATTCGAACTCAGAAATATTCAATCCCAGGAGGAAACTATTGAAGCTTGATATTTCTTTCATTAATGGTGCTTCTTTTGTTTCTGAAATTTTCTCTATAAAAATGTGTGTTAATGCGTACATGGTATACACGTCTAATAAATATCTGGCATCTAATACACAATCTAAACCAGATTCTTTAATTTGGAAAAGGGGTGCCAAGGGGAGGTTCAAGGTTAGAGCTTGCCGTCAGCTTTTAAGGTCTTCTGTTGGCAGCATACCCAGGTCGCCATGGAAATGCATCTGAAGAAACAAAGCAACCCTAAAGGTGGAATATTTCACATGGCTGGTAGCACATGGTGGATGCCTAACTCATGAGAATCTCCAGAAAAGACTGACTTCATATATGCAGTAGGTGCCCAGCGTGCGAGAGAGAAAATGAGGATGTTAGCCACCTCTCCATTAATTGCTCATTCACCATGCAGATCTGGCATATCATTCTTAACATTGTAGGGATCAGCTGGACAATGCCTGAGACAACCATAGAGCTACTGCATAGCCGGTATATGGAAGGGCTGGAGAAGGATAAGCTGAACACTGGAACTCACTGCCTTCAGTCATCTGGTGGATCATTTGGAAGGAAAGGTCCACTAGAAATTTTTAAAGCAAAAAAAAGAATCTGTAATTAGTATTAAGTATAAACGCATTTCTTTACTGTTCTTTTGGTGTAATATGGCAAGTGCAAATGAACAACAATCATGATTGACTTTTTGAGCTCATTACACAATATGTAATGTGGTTGTTCCTTGTAAATATTTTGCAGTACTTTGCTGCCAATTAGTGTTTACCAATCAAAAAAAGAATCAATGTTTTACTTTTTCTTTTTCTCATCCTTCACTTAAGTCTTTCTCGATTATTCTTCTGTTTTGGATTGGTTAGTCTACAACAACAACGACGACGACGACCCAGTAAAATCCCACCAGTGGGATCTGGGGAGGGTAGTGTGTACGCAGACTTTACCCCTACCCCGAGGGAGTAGAAAGGCTGTTTCCGAGAGACCCTCGGCTCAAGAAGACGAAAAGAGACAATATCAGTACCACCAATAGAAACCATAGGAAAAATAACATCATGAAAATCAGAAAGTAGATGCAAAGCAAAAGCCATAGCCAGTACATAGACCCGGCACTATGAAAAACGAAAGACTTCGACAATAACCCTACCAGACTAACCTCACAAAGGTACGAAGTAATAAAGACTCAACTACCTCCGAACCTACAATCCTAATACTCGACCTCCACAACTTCCTATCAATGGCCACGTCCTCGGAAATCTGAAGCCTCGCCATGTCCTACCTGATCACCTCTCCCCAATATTTCTTAAGCCGTCCTCGACCTGTTCTCGTGCCATTCTAATCTCTCTCTCCCTCTCTCTCCCTCCCTCCCTCCCTCCCTCCTTATCTCCCCCTCTCTCTCTTCTCTCTCTCTGTGGCATTTAGATTCTTGGATATTTGAACGGTACAAAATGAGAAAAACTAGTAGGAGGTAAATTTCCAAGAAAGGAGTCTGTGGGAACCTGGTGATGGCATTGACAGAGAGCTTTTGTTTGAAGAAAGAAGACCGTGAACAGAATCACAGATATATTTTGCATAGAGATGAAGACAGGAACATATTTACTAGTCAAATGATCGGGTTACTGGTAAGAATATTTTCTCTTTTTTTGGATACCTTTATGCTTTACTCAACCTAAGAAACTAAGGGAAATTCGTCTTCTAAGTGTATTTTCCGCAAAAGTGCTTTTCAAAAGAGTGCTTATGGGGAGAAGCGACTTTTTTCTGCTTTTCAATAACTGCTTCTACTCAAAAGCATTTCCTTCTAAAAGTTTGGTCAAATACCTTAACTTTGGGGAAAAAAACACTTTTGGCCCCAAAAAAAGCACTTTTGGCCCAAAAGAAGCTTGGCCAAACAGGCTATTATTCAGTCTATTGTTCAGGATAAAGATTGACATTTTGCTCTGAAAGATGAAATAACAAACGAGAAAGGCAACATCAGTGAAATGATATCGATGTTTCTCCCTTCGAACCGATTTAGACTTGCTGACGAACAATAGCAACAACAGAGTTCTACATCAAATCAAGTTTCATCTCCGCTTCATCATGCACTTCCTCGGCATTGGTTCTCATAAACCGGTACACCGCAATTGCATGGTCCTTGGCCACAAAGAAGTTTCACAGCTTTGAAGGTGACTTGTAAAAAGCCAATGGTTTGTCAGACACATATATACTGATCAGTCACCCGCTTAACATTTAGGTAGTTCTCAAGACTCTATTCCCCACGTTCGCCTCTAAAACCACTATGTTTTGTTACCACCTCACATCCCCCAATGGAGGCAGTCAAAAGCATGGTTGTGAACAGTTGACCCAGATAATCCTAGGTAAGAATATTTTCATGAGTATATTTTCCAGGAATATTTCTTGGAGAGAGTTTTATTTTCTGAGTTAGTCTCTTTTCCAAAGGCCTAGTTCCCAGCTTTTAAATATTGTTATCTTTTGCGACAGTGAATAGCCTGCAATCTAGCCCTAGATCAAAAGGGCTAACTTTTTACAAAGATACAGGACTGTTTATTTCCAACTTTGAATATAAGGGATCAAAAGTTCAAAACAAATCTACCCTTAGGGCACATATTCCTTTTAGGGTTTTTCCTCTTAGATTATGCACAGAGCATTTTTTGATAAGGTAAGGTAGTTTAAAAATCAGGAGCATTTCTCGATTTGTGTGTGTCATCCTTGCACAGGGACCATCATGCTAATCTTCTCTGTGTCGTTCCAATTTTATCGGATGTCCCCGAAGGGACATGCATTTTATTTTAAGTTATTATTTATTTGAAATGAAATGCCTAATATATATAAAAAGAAAAAGAGGAGTAGAGGAAGGTCAAATCTCCATTTCCACTCCCTCACTAAGATTACACAGTGAGACATACCTGCTGAATGTTTATGATTAGTGACTTCCTTTGGAACCTTGTTAGCCTCCGAAGGAGCATTCATCAATGACTCAGATGCCTTCTTCTCCGCAGCAGCTGCAGCTTCTTTTGCTGCTTTCCTCTCAGCTTCCAGAGCTGCGGCTTTTTTCTTTTCAACTCTTTCAGCTTCCAGCCTAGCCTGCACCTGATGAAATAAAACTTATTATTACCCACAAGGAGAAAATTCAATCACAAACAACAATTTTGTAATAGATGCAGCTAAAGGGGAGACAAATAGACAGCTAGATTTCACAGGAAAGCAGGGATGCTAGAACCAGGGAATGTCAGCATTAGCACTTGCAGAAGTATGCCACAGAGAAGAAAAAAAGCAGTTCCAATAAAAATTAAGTTACTAAATTAACACAAGCACAATTACTTCCTCGTGTGATGATGATTCTCACAAATAGCTAACTTTGTAAAATCTCTAAAAATCACAAAACGGCAGGCAACCAGAAATGCAATTGGTAAATATAGCTTTCTAAGCTTTTTTCTCCTTGAAGAAACTTTTCTACTAAGCATATGAGAGAATTTCCAATGAGCATATCAAATTGTGTGTCTCTCTCGATAGGAGTAAAACACATACCTTGGCTTCTGCTCTGATCATTTCTTGCCGGGCTTTTTCTTCTTGAAGAGCTTTTTCTTTCCTCTTGGCTTCTTCACGAGCTGCATCATCTCTTATTCTCCTTTCTTCAATTTGGGATCTGTGTTCGTGATCCCTTTGCACAGCAGTTAGGTGATCATCAAGTGCTTCTGCACTACAGTAATACAATTGAAGTTAAAAGTATATTTTTACTAAAATTAAACTGTAGGAACATGCAAATGGTGATTAAACTTCAAATTCTGGGTACTCCGAGCATGTATAGAGTGACCAAGAAACATTAACAAAAATTTAATATTTATCAGTCGCAAAGTTTTTTTATTGAGACCAAGGGCATGCATGTTGTTTGAATCAGAAAATAGTCACTTGCAATCAAAGTGACATGACTTCCTGTTGGTGTCCCTGCTTAAAGTAACTCGGCTCGCTGCCCATACCCCTGAATCTGTTTTACACCTTCATCTGTAATTCAAGTCAACTAGAAATGATGAACAAATCACCCTATTCGCTTTCATTCCCAACCTAAACAACATTAGTGGTTTATGATCAATTGTCAATCTAACATCCTTGGTGAATTTTTTTGTAAGTGAATTCCTCACAAACCAGCTTCCATTTAAGTAATTGAGATTTGATTGGCATGTCTTCAGCAAATATATTATTTCCATTGGTCCTAGAGTAGCAGCAGCAGCAGTTGAAGTGAAGTCCACAGTACGGATAAAACAAATACCCTGGTCTTTAGCGACTAAATAGATAATGTTTCCATCAGTTCCAGCAGACCACCATTGGACCAAAACCCACTGAGGAACATCTACCTTGTTATACATCATTGAACAAAGAAAAAACTATTAACTAGATGACAAACTTAATGCAAAAACAAGTTTTTTTTCCACAAAATCAGAGTAATACGCCTTACATTTTACGCTGGTACTGCATGTCAAATTTTCTGTTCATTTCCCTTTGAGCTTCAGTATTTCTCTCAACCCGTTCAACTGTGGAGGCAAGCTTCTGATTTTCATCCATTAACTCAGCTTCAAGTGCTGATAGTTGATCTCTCATTTCCTCCTGTTGTAAGGTAATAAGAGAAAGAGATTCGGTTTAATATATGCATCCCTTCTTTTCTTTTCCTAAGTCAAGCAAGTTGGGGACATGGACAGAGAAAGTTAAGGAAGCATATAAGTGAAGTTACAAACCGCAATAGTAAGCTGGTGCTCATGAGCTAATTCAGATAAAGCACTTTCCACTAATAATACTTTATCCATTAGATCATGTTGAAGTTCAATGCCCAGGCCTTCTTCAGAATGGTCGCTATCACTGAAACAACATGAGAAATGCTGCACTAAGTATAAATCAAGAATGAAACAGAAGTTTAATATTAATAAAAAGGAAGTTAATAGGAATAACTTCATGACGCACCTTCAGCACCCCCTCCTCCCACCCCACCCCACCCCATCCCAGCCATACATACACCTATCCTCCTTATTTGGCTAAGGATGTCCTAACTCTTGGCTCAATAAGTAAATGCTATAAACATGTAATGCCTTAAACAACTATAGAGCCAAGCAAGTATGAGATGTTTAACATGGGGAAGGGCATTTGTAGCAACATATTTCATAGCTTGTTTCTCTGTTCTAATAGACCTCCTCTCATTCTTACACTCTATAATGTTTGCAATTGTTGAGTACTCACCTCAGATAGATTTCGTCACAGGCAAAACGTTTTCCCCCCTTAACAAAATGATCACCAACTTCATCCTTAGTGTCTTTTTCCACATCCTCCATGTCGTCATCAGACACTTGCATAATAAAGCCTCTCCGAGAATTATTCTTTGAAGCCGAGAGTTCTCTGAGTAAAGACAGATTAGACAACAACATAGAAAATTTACTATCCAAATGGAACTAAAATGCTTGATGTGATTTTCACAAAGAAACCTTGTTAAAGTAACATACCGAGATTCTGCTTTGATAAAAGGTAATGGAAATTTCGATGATCCATTGAGCTTCTTCTCTATCTAGTTGAGCTCGACCAGTAAAGCATCAAAGCTCCAATCAGGGTTTGGATCCAGGGTAACTCCATCAACATTTTTAGGCAACGGAAGTTGCAGTTTAACAGCACCCCTGAGGAAAATAACCATAACTCAGCACAAACCAAGCAACAAGTAGAATATTATAGTTACAGAGCTTATAAAAAAAAACTATAGTTCCAGAATTTCTATAAACGTGTTGCAATAAAGGAAAAACTGAAATGTGATGTTGTTATCACTACAACTATGAGAAAGGTATTTTGTCAAACATATGCATAGAGGTCACATGAACCAACCCCTCCCTAAAAGAAAACTAAAAAATGGCATCAATTTTTCGTGGACTACTACAAATAGAGAAAGAGATGAAAAAAAGGGTATAGGAAAAAAGTACTTACATTATTATTTTCCTGCCTTAAGAACACGTTTAAATAAAGTTGTGTACAACGCTGGCTTCACACACTTGAGTCTTGAAATTTGAGATATAATTAATTACCTGTAACAATTGAAAAGCAAAAGTTACAAACAGAAAATGTAAAAGATCATAACATGAACACCCATAAGGGAAATTTGAAAGCTAAACCCTAATATTACTAATACAGACAAGAGTATGAATAGAGGGGATAAAGATAGCACAAAAAGGGATAAAGAGGGGGCTGATTTGAGATCAAAGTTTCATTCTTTATATTAATTTTCTCCAAGATTTATTCAACAAAAGGCTCTGCTCTCTGTGAAACGTCTACCTTTGAAGTTTTCTTGGATTTGCAGTTGTGGTTTCTTGAAATATAATAATAGCTATAGAAAATTCAATAAAATCAAATGGATTTTTTTACTATTCCAAATTGGATAAACGGAATGTTGAATAAATCATAAGCTAAGGGTATGAATTTGGTACAACCAAAAAGGAATAGTAAGCAAATCTCTAAGAAACCAATGAAGAGAATGGTTTCTGAACAAGTATTTGCAGAGGGTAAATTGAGAGTTCAGAGAATAGACAAGAGAGAAAAAAGATTGATTTTATTATTATATCCCCTAACTGGTATAACCCATCCCCTATATATCCTGTATCTAATAACAATCTAATAACAGACTAACCTTCCACTTAACCAACTAACTAATCCGTTATTAGCAATATGGTAAATGACAACTATATCCCTTACTTATTACAGCAGTGACAAAAATACCCTCTTGTATAAAATGAATATAACAACTATTCCCCCCTCGAAATGATCCTTGTCCTCAAGGATTGAAATGAGGAAACTGTTGCTGCAGGGCTTGTAAATCCATCCAGGTGTTATCGGCAGCTGAGCAATTGAACCACTTGACAAGAACTTGAGTGACTGGTCGGTGGTGCTTCTGGACCATTCTTCTTTCCACAATAGCCTCAGGTTCCAACAGAATGTGACCATTAGAAGATAATGAAATAGGAAGGTAAGGAAGCACTGGCTTATCTCCCAGCTTCTTTTTCAACTGCGACACATGAAAAGTGTGGTGAATTTTGGCATTAGGGGGAAGATCCAGCTGATATGCAACCTGCCCGATCTTCTTGATCACCCGAAATGGACCAAAATACTTTGGACTGAGCTTAGAATAATCATCCCCACGCATCGAAATTTGTCTATAAGGTTGCAATTTAATGTACACCCAATCATCGACTAGGAAGGACCTCTCTGATCTTCTTTTATCTGCTTGCATTTTCATCCTGTCTCGAGACAAATTCAAATGATGCTTCAACACCCTGATTGTGGATTCCCTTGCTTGTAAGCTTCTGTCAACAGCCTCCACCATTGAACTCTGAGGTAAATATGGGAGATGGAGAGGAGGGCTTTGTCCATACAATACCTCATAAGGCGTAGTTCTAGTGGAGCTGTGAAAGTTGGTGTTGTACCACCATTCAGTAAGTGGCAACCAAGCTGCCCAATTCTTTGGTCTATCTCCACACATACACCTCAAATATCCTTCTAGACACTTGTTAACAGCCTCCGTTTGCCCATCACTTTGAGGATGGTAGGCTGTAGAATGATGCAAGGCGACTCCTTGAAGGCCAAAGAGCTCCTGCCAAAATTTACTCAAGAATATAGTATCTCTGTCAGACACAATTGTCTGCGGCAATCCATGGAGTTTGTAGACATTTTCCATGAAAACTTGTGCCACCCTTTCTGCTGTAAACGGATGTTTCAATGCCATAAAGTGAGCATACTTGCTCAACCTGTCTACTACCACCAGAATAGTTGTTTTACCTGAAGAATTAGGTAATCCCTCAATGAAATCCATGCTGATATCCTGCCACACTCTCTCAGGAATTGGTAGAGGTTGGAGTAGTCCTGGATAGGCCACATTCTCCACCTTGTTCTTCTGGCAAATCTCACACTCTTGAACATGTTTGTACACATCTTTTCTAATACCCTTCCAGTAGTAAACATTTTTTAGCCTGTGCAGAGTAGCAATGATACCTGAATGCCCCCCTAGTGCACTGTCATGGTGCAACTTAAGCAGCTCCTTCCTCAATTCTGCATCTCTGCCCACAAACACCTTCCCCTTCCTGTATAGCAACCCATCTTTATAAACATAGCCTGGCCTACTGTTGGGGTTTAACAGAAGTTGTTGAATCAATTCAAAAATCTCGCTATCATCCTTGTAAGAATCCTTGATCTGTTGTACAAACTGACCAATTACAACAGTCATGGAGTATAACTTGGCCACTCGAGACAATGCGTCTGCTACTAAATTCTCCTTCCCTTTCTTGTATACAATAGTGAAATCATATCCCAAAAGCTTAGCTATCNCTTGCCCATTGGCATGGGCTTTTGAAAGATGTACTTTAGCGGATCCATCCTAGATATAAGATAAGTGGTATAGGCACATAAATAATGCCTCAACTTCTGAGCTACCCAAGTCAGAGCACAAGAGGTGCGTTCTAGCATGGAATACCGGGCCTCGTACGGGGGAGGGGGCCACTTAAGCATAGCTTCCAGCTTCTTAGGATCAGCAGACACTCCATTACCACTGATTACATGCCCAAGTACTCAACCTCCTTTGTTGCAAAAGAGCATTTACTCATCTTTACATATAGACTATTTGATTGTAGGATCTGAAAAACTATTTCCAAATGATTTAAATGGCTGGACCATGAAGGACTGTATATAAGGATATCATCGAAGAAAACCAAAATGAACTTTCTCAAGTGTGGCTGGAAGATGTGGTTCATTAGACTTTGAAAAGTAGATGGTGCATTTGTGAGTCCGAAGGGCATCACCACAAACTCATAGTGTCCATGGTGTGACCTAAAGGCTGTCTTCTCAATATCAGCAGGGCACATCCTGATCTGATGGTATCCCGCTCTAAGGTCCAGCTTAGAGAAAACTAGCACTCCAATTCATCCAATAATTCTTCAATGACAGGTATTGGAAACTTGTCTTTGACGGTGGCCCTATTCAATTCTCTATAGTCAATACACATCCTCCACGAACCATCTTTCTTCTTAACCATGACTATCGGTGATGAATAAGGACTCAAACTTGGCCTAATTACACCTGTTTGCAACAATTCTTGTACCATTTTCTCAATCTCATCCTTCTGAGAGGTTGGATATCGGTAAGGCCTTACATTAATGGGAGAAACTCCCTCCTTCAAGACTATTTTATGATCATGACTCCTGTGAGGTGGCAGCTCACTAGGAACAGCAAAAATAGGGGAATATTGATCAAGTATTTGCTGTAAATCACTAGGACGAGTCTTAGCATTTCCCCCTAACTGCATCTCTGATAAGCTGAGAGTCTGGGCAGCAGTATGCTTCACAAAAGTCACTGTCATCATACTCAGCTGGGTAGGTCTGTTTAATAATTTCTGCATCTTTTGACTGCTAACCATCTTGGAATCACCAGGTGGACTTCCCCTGACTGATATCTTCTTCCCATTAATTTGAAATTCCATCTTCAGTTGTCTGAAATTCCATTTGATATCTCCTAGTGTAATAAGCCACTGAATTCCCAACACCACATCAGCACCTCCTAAAGGAATCACCAACATGTCAGCCATAAAATCCACTCCCTGCATCCTCCACTTCACCTTCTTGCTCATGAACTTGCTATGAACCCTACTACCATTGGCAACAGCAGAAACTAGGAATAGTTTCCAACTGAATTCCTAATTTCCTTGCAACGTTCACATCCATGAAATTGTGAGTTGACCCAGAATCTACCAACACATGTACCATCTTCCCCTTTACAGACCCTTTTACTCTCATTGTTCTGTAATCCACTGTTCCATCCAATGCATGGACGGACATCTGAGGACTAAGATTGGACTCCTCGGTATTTTCTTCTTCAATTGTGGGTTCTTCCTCCTCCAGTACCTCAATATCTTCCTCCAACTCCAGAACATACAACTGCTTTTTCTTGTTACAGTTATGACCTGGAATATATTTCTCATCACACCAAAAGCATAACCCCTTGGCCCTCTTCTCGTCCATTTCTGTGGCGGAAAGTTTTCTTGGTCCCTTTAGTGTAGAATGATTACTAGAATTAGAGTACTTCCCTCCATTTGAACCCCTACTGCTCTCAGGTCCCATTAAGTGATAATGACTTCTAAAATTTGAACTCCCAGAAGAACTTGGAGTGGGTAGCAAGGGTCTAGAAGTTCTTACCATTAACTGGTTCTGTTCTCTCTGCAACTTCACTGATTGTTCTGCTAATTTAGCAAGACTATAAGCTCTCATTATAGTCCTTGGTGCCAACATGCGGACTTGAACCTCAACCTCAGGTTTTAATCCATTCAAAAAACAACTGATAGAATGTTCTTCTGTCAACTCTACTTGATTCGACAGTTCGTCAAATTTATCCAAGAACTCTTGAACACTCCCATTCTATTTCAGGCCCAGAAGTTCAGACATAGGATCAGCATACAGAGTATGCCCAAACCTAAGATGCAAAGCTCGAACATAATTGTTCCAATTTGGGAATTCCCTACCCAATCTTGACTTCAATAGCGTTTGGTGCCATTGAAGAGCTCTGCCCTCCATGTGAATCGAGGCTAATTTCACCTTCATATCTTCCGGAGTTCCATCAACATCAAAGAATTGTTCGCATCGATACACCCAACCTCGCAAATCGTCACCCCCAAATCTGGGAAATTCTACTCGTGAATATCGGGTATTCACGTGATTATGATTTCCAGCTCCATTCACCTGGTAACCTACTCCATTAGTACCGATTCCCGTACTTTCTGCCGGAGCCGCTGGTGGAACCGTCGGAGCTTGATTATTAACAGCCATGGCTGCTACTAGCTGTCGGATTTCTCCAATCACATCATCATGTTTTTCCCCCAAAATCCGAACTTGTTCTCTGATTTCATCTAATTCACGTCGCATTTTACTATTTCTCCTCGTTTCCGGCATCGTACTTCGCCAAGAACCGCTCGCTCCGATACCAAATTGGTACAACCAAAAAGGAATAGTAAGCAAATCTCTAAGAAACCAATGAAGAGAATGGTTTCTGAACAAGTATTTGCAGAGGGTAAATTGAGAGTTCAGAGAATAGAGAAGAGAGAAAGAAGATTGATTTTATTACTATATCCCCTAACTGGTATAACCCATCCCCTATATATCCTGTATCTAATAACAAACTAATAACAGACTAACCTTCCACTTAACCGACTAACTAATCCGTTATTAGCAATATGGTAATTGACAACTATATCCCTTACTTATTACAGCAGTGACAAAAATACCCTCTTGTATAAAATGAATATAACAGAATTTTGAGAAATTGAAGAGGAAGGGAATCAGCGATGAAGGGCGGGAGAAAAGAAAGCTTAACGGGAAAGAGGAAGTCAAAGTGCGTTTTTGTAAGTATTTTTTTCTTTTTTTGGTCCGTTCTAAAACAATGAGGCATTTTAAATTTAGTAACAATTTAGCTTAAACTTACAATTCTATCCTTAATGATAAGTTTTTATAATCACACCAATACTCTAGGTTCTTTTTTGACTTATTTAGAGATACAAATTTCAAAAGTCTTTATTTTT